AATAATTTTCAATCAGTTGATTAGGTTGAATCAATCCATCTCGTTAATTGTAATATATATATATATATATATATAAAAAAAAAATGACAGCTAATTATTTCACACTCACCGTTTATGGAAAAAGTAGGAAATGAAAATTAATTGGATTATTTGTTGACGAAGATGTCATTTCATTAAACAATAAATAAATATCAAAAGCAAATATTTGTGGACACACCACTTACACATTAGACAAAATAAGTAATTTTATTTTATTTTTATAAAATTATAAATTATTAAATTTGAGATTAATTATTAAGTTGACACGTGTCCCATATTTGATTTCAAGACAAAAATAAATAAATTTCAATTTTAAGGCCACGTATCTCCAAATAACTAAATTTGAGTCAAATTTAAACCAACATTAAATATATATATATATATATATATATAATCTTAATCCAATAAGTCTAAATTCAGTGAATGAGTCGAAGAAGCATTAAAGTCGGAGAAGGTTGAAAAACACTCTAAATAAAGATCTAGAGAACTCAGGAAGAGTTTAGATTCTTCTTTGGACATCAAAGAAGATCAAGAAAAAGGTTTAAAAAATTAAAATCCTCTGGATGACCGAAAACTCTTTAAAATATTTTTGAAGATCGTCAGATTTTAAAGATCAAAATATATATCACAATCACACTCTTGTTGGCAGCGGACTTACGATTGTACGGCACTCACTTTTCAATGACAAGTAAGCTCAGTTAATTCGTTCTTACGTCGCCTACGGCCAAGCGACGTATGCTCAAGCCACTTGGTTTGAGAGAAAGGTTTTAGAAAACCAGGACAGAGAGAGATTTTTGAAAGAGACGTTATATATGCAAACAATAAAGTAACAACAACAGCTCACAGTATATAACTATTAGTAGGGGGATATGACTGAAAATTTAAAAACTTTGAAGTTAAAATTGAAGAGATTTGAAGTATAAAAAATATGAAGAAGATCGACAAGCTAAGGGTCGATCTAGCTAGATCAACAAGTGAAATGTCGAACCGAGAAGATCAACAAGCTAGAGGCGAATCACAAATGATTTATGCTATGTTTATTTTGAATATAATTAATTAACTCACAAATATTAAATTACCAAAATTAATATTTTAAAAATGATGTAATTAGATTAAATAAATATTAAATTATTTAAATATAATTGATTATTCATTGATTATCTATAATTGATAATAGATTGACGCGTAGGTTTAATCAATTATTTAACTAGTGTATTCGAATTCCACTTTTGCCCCTATTCAATAGTTTTTTTAAATTAATAAAAATTATCCCTAAATTTTAAAAGTTTTAATAATAACTTTAAATTTAAAAAATTAAATTAAATATCTTTATGATAAAACGGTTAATATTTTGCTTCAAAAATATCAAAAGCGTTCATTTTAAAAACTCGAGAACCAAATAGAAATTAAGTTCAAACTCGGGAATAAAAAGTATATTTTATCCAAAATTGTGTTAAAAACCACGAACCGATATTGTCCACTTTGAATATAAAGTCTCGTGACTTTGCTTTTAAAAAGCCTCGTACCAATGGATATATATTCCTCATAAACTCATGACCAACCTTTTAACTAGGGGATGTGAGATTCCTCTCTTAACAATCCTCGAACAAAGTACATCATAGAGCCTCTCCTGAGGTCTATGGAGCCCTCAAACAACCTCTCCTCAATCGAGGCTTGACTCCTCCTCTGGAGCCCTCGAACAAAGTACACCATTTGTTCAACACTTGAGTAACTTTTTATTACACCTTCGAAGCTAGCAACTTATTTTGAGGATTCGATTAACATGACTAAGTTAAATGCATGACTCTGATACCATGTTAGAAACCACGAACCTCCACAACCGTATGATATTGACCACTTTGACTATAAGCTCTCATGACTTTGTTTTTTGTTTCCCCAAAAGGCCTCGTACTAATGAAGCTAGTGTTCCTTACTTATAAACCCATGATCAATTCCTTAATTAGTCGATGTGGGACTCCACTTAACAATCCTCAACAAATTGTATCTAGAATGTTTTATTGTACGCTCCACCGAAAACAAAAGCCCTCTAAAATATGAGCTAAACATATGAGACTAGAAGTGAAACCGAAGATAAGTGGCAAAGCAGAGAGACCAAACATCGAGCATGTTTGGAATGACCTTTTAAGCGTCCGGAAAGTCCTACTTCTCTAGGAAAAAATAAGTATTCTAAGTTTTGAACTGATATAATCAAAGCAGCAACTGCTCAACTTGAGAACTATGAAAGCAACCAAGCTGGTGACAGGGGATGCTTTCTTGCTTTCAGGCAGAAGCCCTTCTGCAGCAAGAAAACAGCACACAGCACAGACATGGCATGACGGTTCGAACCCTTGTCGAGGATCAGACCGTGGTAGTAGTAAGCCACAGCCTGATATAACAACGGTACGACACGACCAGCAGATATTGAAAAACTTGAGATAGGCACATCGACGGTAGCAATCCAAACCCACCGCTAGTAAATATTATCCACTTTAGCCTGTTACGTATCGCCGTCAACCTCACGGTTTTAAAACGCATTTACTATGAAAAGAGTCTAGCCCTACTCCAACCAATGTAGATAAGAAATGTTTCGTTTCCCTCTCTAACCAATATAGAATCTCTCAATCCACCTCCCTTAAGGGCCAACGTCCTCACTGGCACACCGCCCGATGTCTTCCAACCTATGTGGAATTTCACAATCCAATACACCCTACCCTTATAAGGAATGTTTCGCTCCCCTCTCCTAACCAATGTGGATCTCTCAATCCACCTCTCTTAGGGGCCAATATCCGCTGGCACACTGTCCGATGTCTTCCAACCAACGTGGAATTTCACAATCCAATACACCGTTATAAAGAATGTTTCGCCCCCCTCCCCTAACTAATATGGAATCTCACAATCCACCTCCCTTAGGGGCCACTTAGGAGCCAATATCCTCGCTGGCACACAGCCCGATGTCTTCCAACCAATGTGAAATTTCACAATCTAATACATGCTTATAAAGAATGTTTTGCTCCCCTCTCCTAACCAACGTGGAATCTCACAATCCACCTCCCTTAGGGGCCAGCATCCTCGCTGACACACAGCTCAGTGTCGGGCTCTAATACAATTTATAATAGCCTAAGTCCACCATTAGCAGATATTGTCCGTTTTAGTCCATTACGTATTGTCGTCAGCCACACGATTCTAAAACGCGTCTACTATTTGTTGGAAACTCTCCTGGCTTTATTTTGGACTTCCCAAAAAGCCTCGTACTAATAATAATAGTATTACTCACTTATAAACTCATCATCATTCTCTAAATTAGTCAACATAGGACTCCCTCCCATCAATCCTCAACAGCAGAGAATCAAGCAGATGACTACTCGTACAACAATGGACGAAATAATTACAAAAATTACAAAAATAAGAAAATCTTCGGAAATGTAATGAATGATTAAGGAGACAGAATGAAAAATTAAAGAGAAATTAACAGATCGGAGCACAGATTGATTAGAAAGAAAGTGCGAGAGAAACAGAAAAGACTTACCAGTGGGAGAGAAGGTTCGGGGGAGCATTAGAAAGGATCCGATAAGAATCAAAAGCACAAAACGCGAGAGAGAATCTGGGAATAGGAAGGTGCAGAGGCCGAGACATAACCTCACATGGCGGAGTAGTAGAGATCGCCTCGTTGCCCAAGGAGCTGATTCGTAAAATTCCCAGTCCCACTTCTCAAACCGCGCCAACAAATTATGATTTATTATATACATATATATATATAGTATGAAATTGTCCACGTAATTTTTAAATTAATTTTAAACTAAATTAATAAAAATATTTACAAATTTTTTAAACTTTCAAAAAAAAAAAAATTCTAATTAAAAGGTTTTAAAAATAAACTTAAATTTTTAATAATGTTTAAAAATACCATTCCATTTTAGAAAGTTTTATTAATATATATATATATATATATATATATATATTTTAAATGAAAGTTGTCTTTAAAAATTTTCATTTTTTTAATTTAAAAAAAATCAAAATATTTAAGATTAATATATAGAAGAAAATAGTTTGCACTACCTCATATGCCATGTCACACTTTAGTTGAGGTGGAGAACAAAACACATTTTATAAGAGTGTGGAAACCTTCCATCCTTACTAATAATTCTATACTGTGAGCTGTTGTTGTTACTCTCTTCCTTACATATATATATATATAAGGTCTCTTTCAAAATCTCTCTTTTGAAAATCTCTCTCTACCCTTATTTTCTAAAACTTTCCTTCTAAACCGAGACTTGAGGCTCAAGCATACATCGCTTGACCATAGGCGACGTAAGAACGAATTGGCTTAGCTCACTTATCATTGGAAAGTGAATGTCGCACAATCGCAAGTATGTTGCCATCAAGAGTGCGACGCAAACATGTTTTAAAGCCTTGAAAGCCTGAGAGGGAAAGCCCAAAGAGAATAATATCTGCTACCCGATGGGTCTAGGTCATTAGATAATAGATTATTCGAAACTTTTTAAATTTACTTTTGAAAGTTTATGATTATTTTTTAAATGTAATATTACCAATAATGATATTTTTGAACTTTTCGGAAACTTAAAAGGGTGTTTTTTTTAATGTTAATTTAATCCCTATTTAGATTATTTTTAATAAAACTAAAATGTTAATTTGTAAAAGTTTTTTTTTTTTTTTTTAAATAAAATTGCAACTCAATTTTCATATGTATTTTTTAAAAATGACCTTCAACATACTTTTAAAAAATACAGAATTGCTAGAGAATAAATAATAAATAAGATAATTATTAAGTTAAATAAATATACGTTCAAATTTGTATTTTTTTTTAAAAAAAATAATTTTAGAGAAATTTTTATTTATTTCAATCGAAATTAATTCAAATTTAATTTGGAGCGAAATGACAAGATTATCCCTGTTTGAAATTTTGTGGGGATCTCAAAATTCACCGTAAGATCTCTCATTGTTCCATTCTACGGTTTTGCGTACCTAATTTATTCGGCGGCTCTTCTTAAACTCCCATTTCGTCGACGCTTCTCTTCTTCGCCGATCATCTCCGTGGCCAGAATTTTGACGATTTCATGGCGAATCCGACTCCGGCTCCTCTCGTCTATGTCCTTTTGGCTTTGCTGTTAGTCTCATCCACGATTGCAACCTCCGATGTCCCTTTCATTGTCGCGCACAAGAAGGCGTCGCTCACTCGGCTGAAATCTGGCGCCGAACGTGTCTCTGTCTCCATCGACATTTACAATCAAGGATCTTCGTATGTTCCGTTCGATTACTTTAATTTGATTTCGCTTTTGGTTTTTAGATTCAGCTATACTCACCCTGCGGTCTATGTGATCTAGATCGAATCGTATTTGCGCATGCGTCGTTTGATCCGTTATGTTTTGTTCTGGATCTGAATTGGATTTGGTTGTGCGTTGTTTTGTGATTGTTTTTATGTAGTCGTAATTGTTGGATGATGAAAGTCCCACATCGGCTAATTTAGGGAATGGTCATGGGTTTATAATCATGGAATACTCTCTCCATTGGTACGAGGTCTTTTGGGGAAGTCCAAAGCAAAGCCATGAGAGCTTATGCTAAAAGTGGACAATATCATACCATTATGGAGAGTCGTGTTTGTCTAACATAGTATCAGAGTCATGCCCTAAAATTAGTCGTGTCAATAGATCGGTATATCCTCAAATGTCGAACAAAAGACTCCAAAAGAAAAGGAATCAAGCCTTCTCAAAGGCATAGTAAAAAATGACTAAGACTCCAAAGGAGTCGAGCCTCGATTAAGGGGAGGCGTACTTTGTTCGAGGGGAGGTGTTGGATGATGAAAGTCCCACATCGGCTAATTTAGGGAATGGTTATGAGTTTATAATCAAGGAATACTCTCTTCATTGGTATGAGACCTTTTGGGGGAAGCCCAAAGCAAAGCCATGAGAGTTTATGCTCATACTCTCTTCATTGGTATGAGACCTTTTGGGGGAAGCCCAAAGCAAAGCCATGAGAGTTTATGCTCAAAGTGGACAGTATCGTATGAGACCTTTTGGGGGAAGCCCAAAGCAAAGCCATGAGAGTTTATGCTCAAAGTGGACAGTATCATACCATTGTGGAGAGTCGTGTTCGTCTAACAGTAATCAATACAAGAGACTCTGGGTTTATTATACTCTCTTCATTGGTATGAGACCTTTTGGGGGAAGCCCAAAGCAAAGCCATGAGAGTTTATGCTCATACTCTCTTCATTGGTATGAGACCTTTTGGGGGAAGCCCAAAGCAAAGCCATGAGAGTTTATGCTCAAAGTGGACAGTATCGTATGAGACCTTTTGGGGGAAGCCCAAAGCAAAGCCATGAGAGTTTATGCTCAAAGTGGACAGTATCATACCATTGTGGAGAGTCGTGTTCGTCTAACAGTAATCAATACAAGAGACTCTGGGTTTATTATACTCTCTTCATTGGTATGAGACCTTTTGGGGGAAGCCCAAAGCAAAGCCATGAGAGTTTATGCTCAAAGTGGACAGTATCATACCATTGTGGAGAGTCGTGTTCGTCTAACAGTAATCAATACAAGAGACTCTGGGTTTATTATACTCTCTTCATTGGTATGAGACCTTTTGGGGGAAGCCCAAAGCAAAGCCATGAGAGTTTATGCTCAAAGTGGACAGTATCATACCATTGTGGAGAGTCGTGTTCGTCTAACAGTAATCAATACAAGAGACTCTGGGTTTACTTGAAAGTTTGAAGGGGTGGGCAACTGGATGTGAGATTTGGTGCATTTGTAAAAAGTTGTTTTTGTTGTGGTTGGATACCGAGATCCTCAAGGCTATTATGAACTGAAACCGGGCATACCTTGCTTAGCTGCATCAATAACTAATGTATTTTGGTTTTTTAATGTAAATTTTCTTAAAATGGTTTACCAAGTTGCTTGTTTTGACGATTGCTGCATGGTCTGTCTGAATATTCGATCATCTACTATGATATTCGTGATCACATTCCAGGAGTTATGCCTAAATCTTGTTTCAATAAGGGCTGCTACATTTTGCACTTGACACGAATATATAAATGCAGCCTCTTGGAGTGAATCTTTGTCAAAATTTTACAATTTGATGTAAATTTATCTGTTTTGAACGGTAGCCATGGGTGAGAGGAGGGTTGTGTGTGTGTGTGTAACAGCTCAAGTTCACCGCTAGCAGATATTGTCCGTTTTGGGCTTTCCCTTTCGGAAATGCATCTGCTAGAGAGAGGTTTCCACACCCTTATAAAGAATGTTTCGTTCTCCTCCCCAACCAATGTGAGATCTGACCATATGTGTGTTGAGCACTAAATGAAAAGTAGAAATTGTCCAGATCAACTCGGTACGAGTATCTATTTGACATAAATGGAGCCAATGATGAGTAGCTTATGCTCACTTGAGCTTACTTTAAGGCAAAGGAGAGACTTAACTCTTTTGTTTTTAGAATTAACTCTGTTCTCTTTTGTATGTTTTATTTCTAAGTGACCTGGTTTCTTATTTTTCGACCGATTTTTTGTATTTCTTTTATAATGATTACCAGGACCGCGTATGATGTAAGTCTGAACGATGCAAGCTGGCCAGGAGATGTCTTTGATGTTATCAGTGGCGAAACTTCCAAATCGTGGGAAAGACTCGACGCGTAAGCGACACCATTTTTTTGTAATCTTTCGTATATGACATCGTACACTCCACCGGGTTTTCATGCGACTAACACAAATCCGCTGTTTGACAGTGGTGGTCATCTATCACATTCTTTCGAGTTGGAAGCAAAAACAAAAGGAATGTTTCATGGTTCACCTGCTGTTGTCACATTCCGAGTCCCTACAAAGTCTGCTTTACAGGTAAAGTATCCTATCAATAACGGTTATGGTTGTGTTCGGGTTACTTAACCTACAGTCGTTTTACCGTTCTTCTGGATATCTGTAGGAAGCCTTATCGACCCCAATTCTACCGTTGGATGTCCTCGCTGACAGACTACCCGAGAATAAGTTTGAGTGGGTAAGTTTAAACCGAAAATTTGTGCTCTGCTTCAAGCGTAATGATTTATAGTCTTATCCGTTTGGTTAACTGATGTAAACTTTTTACTTCGCATGGAATTTATCATTCACTGGGGCATGAATTCGACAGGTTAAGGTATGATCCATTCTGTGCTCCCATGCTCTTAATTCTTCGGTTAATATCTATTACGTATCGATTCTCGATCTCATTTTGTACCATACCATCACAAAGTTTGTGCCTGCTGCATCGACTTTTGTTCTTTTGATCGCCGTCTTTTTATTCACACGAGATTATTTTTCCTCTGCAGAGGCTGCTCGCTAAGTACGGTTCCCTGATCTCAGTGAACTCCATTGTCATTCTGTTCATCTATCTTGTGGCCAGCCCATCAAAATCTTCTGCAAAAGGAAGCAAGAAGAAGCGTTGATTTACGATTCGGAGATAGCTCGAAAAGTAGTTTTAACTGTGTTAAAATAGAGGATTTTCCCTGATACTTTGTTGGGTTAGCAAAGGTACAGAACTTTTTGAACTGATAGGTTTTTCGTTCACCCCCGAATGAAGTCGAGCCCGAGGGAACAGAAGAGTTAATCACAGGCACGTGCTGAGAGTCGCCGAACACGTGGTGCAGTAATTGACTTGTTGATTTGTTAAGTTATATGCGGATTTGTTCATCATATTTCAGAGTTGGTTTCTTCTTTTCTTAGCCATGAATCTTTGTGTTGTGTTCTTTTCCTTCCAACATACGCAAATGATTAGGAAATTGACAGGGTCTTAAACCAAGTTTGGTGTTTCAACTTTTTAATTTTTAGAAAATTTTTAGAATAATATATATACCGTAGCAAAACTTAGAGGCAGAATCGTATGATTTGGTTTGAGTAGCAAATTTCAAGGCTGACAGCGAAACATAATGGGCTAAAGAGAACAATATCTACAACTGATGGGTCTTAGTAGCAAATGGGCTAAAGTGAACGATCGTTGGGTCTGAAGAGCAAATTTTGAGACTGACGATGATACGTAATGGACTAAAGCGGATAATATCTACGATCGGGGGGTTTGAATGAATAGCAAATTGTAAAGCTAGCTAACGACAATGTGTAACGGGCTAAAGTAGATAATATATGACGATATAATCGGTTAAAGTGGACAATATATGAAAAAGTTGAGTAAGAAAATGATAAAATGAGTCAAAAATAAATTGCTAAATAATTAAGGTTTAATTTGAAATTGTGAATTACATATTTTAAAAATGAAGTTTATATGAAATAAATTATTATTCCATAAGAAGATCACAGAAAATACAAATAAATTAAAATTTTAAGGATATTAAAGAAAATTTTGAAAATTGAAATATATTTTTTAAAAAATTATGGCTATTTTAAAAATAAAATAATGAGTTTTTTAGTTTTTTTTTTTTTTTTTTTTTTTTTT